ACCTGTGCGAATTGCGAAGGGAAGAGTTAAGACGACCGGACATGAGAAGCAATCAGCGAGATCAAACTAGATCGAGCTTCGAACGCCGAAGTCTAAATGGACGGTGCGAATGCTGAACAAACAATGTGAACGCATGATCGGATTGGATAGAGTCATGCGAGTGCGGACGCGGTATTACGGAGTCCGAACGCTAGAGGGCGGAGTCTGAACGCTGGATCGAACTCGCGAGCGCGGGATCGGGCTACAGAGTGCGGAGTCCAAGTCATTCCGGGTTGATCAAGGGTTTCCAGGTCAACTCGATACCGACTCGGTTTTATAAACGGGTTGGAATCTGGAGCCCGAACCATACCCGTATGGAAAATGGTTTGACCCGTCCAGGTCGGGTCAAATATTGACACCCCTACATTTGCCACATTTATGATTTTATCATCAATAATTGTCTTAATAGAAGTCTTATCACTAATTATATTAGCCCCAACAATTTTATCTTTTGCTAGCCCAATCTCATTCTTATAGTTAACCTTTAACAGACATAACCTTATAACAATCTATCATATCCATGAATTTTTATTATTTTCATATAGTTTTTTGTAAACAAGTAATATTTATTCTTCTTCTTATTATAGTTTACATCAATTCTCTCATCTTTCCATTTAATGTGTTATTTCAACTATCCTTCAAATCATTTTTTAATCTATCCTTCCAAGTTTGGCCAAACATTCATCTTAATATTATCATGTGCTACACCTATATACTCTTAGATGATGAATAAGATAGTAAGATATCTGTTTCACAAATTATTATTAGCCACAATACCACCACCGAAACATATATTAAATATCAGTTTCAAAGAAATAAGGGCAATTAAATTTCATAGATTTGAGGTCTCCTATTCAAATGAAAAGAATGAACCAATCGTGAGTTACAAAGTCTGATGAACGCTGCTTGGAGTATGCTGTGCTTAGGAGTTGTAGGAGACTTTTGGAAGAGTCACGAGATCAAGTGATTCAAGTTTTAGAAATGAAAACAAATAAAATTTAGTGCGGAAGAATAAAGCATTGTCGTTTGATTCTTATGCATGATGACAATTCTTACGCTTCACATTTTGGCTGACAAAATATAAATTAAAGGCTTTGTTTGGGGGGGGGGGGGGGGGGGATTTATGCAATTAAAGGCAATTCCAATAATAGTAAAAAAAAGAAAGAAATGCAAGCAACCTAGGAAGTCAATACAACAACAATGACCCTATATCCCACTCGTGGGGTTGACTACATGAATCATTTTTCTCCATTGTATTCTATCAAGAGTCAAATTCTCATTTAAATCTAATAAAACATGTCATTTTTAACACTTTATAACCAAGTCATTTTAGGTCTACCTCTACCTTTCTTAACATATGTCAAATCTAATACATCTACTATCCTAACAGGTTCATCAGAAGGCCAACGCTTTATATTACCAAATCATCTAAAATGTATCTAATCTTATCTATCAAGATACTCCAACCCTTTCACATATATACTTGTTTCGCATTTTGTCCCTAACTGTGAAGCCACTCAACCACTGAGGCATCATCATACCTGCAACACTTAATTTTATGCTTCTCTATTAATGGCCAACATTCTGCGCCATAAAGCATTGCAGGTTTCACTATTCTAATAAAATTTTTCCTTAAGCTTGTGGGGTACTTTTCTCTCGCATAATAGGCCCCATGCATTCCTTCACTTAAATCATCCAACTTGAATTCTGCTAATAATATCCCCATCTATCTCACTATCAGTTTGAATTATCGCTTCCAATAAAATACCCAAGATACCAAAAAAGCGCAATCTTTTTTAATGACTTGATCATCCAATGTCATAATCCCTCCACTAGATCTATTACTACTAAATACTACATGTATTCAATTTTAGATCTACTCAAACGAAAATCTTTAGACTCTAAGGTTGAACTCAATAATTCAAGCTTTTCATCAACTCCTCTAGTCTTATCAATAAGAAGAATATCATCAGCAAAAAGCATACACCAAGGTACAAATGTCTAGGAAGTGAGAACATCCATGACTAAAGAAAAAATAAATTGATTTAAAACTGATCCTTGATGTAATCCAGCTGAAATAGTAAAATAGTTGGTCAAACCACCTTGTATTTGAACACAAGTAACAGTTATTGTATGCATATCCTTAATAACTTGAATAGAAGCATTATTAACACTTTTCATTTCTAGAACTCTCCAGATCACTTCTCTTGGAACTTTATCGTATGTTTTCTCTAAATCAAATATCATATGTAGATCCTTCTTACTCTCTCTATAGTTCTCCATCAAACCTCTAAAAAAAGTATAGCTTCCATAGCAAACCTACCTGATATGAATTTGAACTAGATTTGAGAAACATTAGCATCATGCCGTAACTTATGTTCAATTACTTTCTCCCATAATTTTAATGTATGTTACTTTATTCCTATATAATTCGCACACTCTTGTGTATCAGATTTATTCTAAAAAATAAAAATCAACACTGTTTCATGCATCTGACATGTTTTTAGTCTTCAAAAAAATATTGAAAATATTAGTATGCCAAAAAAATTCTTGATCTCCTAAACATTTCCACACTTATGTTGTAATATCATCTAGTCCAACTACTTTTCCACACATCATTTTCTTTAAAGACTCTACAACTTACAATTTTACTACTAAATAAACAAAAATCTCAATTTTCATTTAGGGTGTCAAGGTCATTAAAGTTAATTGTATCACTCAAAATCATTATTAAAAAGTTTGTTGAAATATCTCATCCATATATGTTGAATGTCCTCTTTTAAAAATAATAATTTTTTTTTATATTTATCCTTAATATACTTCACTTAAACTAAATATTTACTTCTTTTATCTCTTTGCTTGGCTAACTTATACATACATCTTTTGTATCTAATCTATTATATGAATTATTAAAAGCTGAATTTTATCATTACATATTGTTTTCTTAGAATCCTACAAGTCTCTCTATATCATTTCTAATTTTTCAAGCTTCGACATCTAAAACAAATTTTATAACAAAATATTTTATTTTTTATGTTTTCTTACAAATTTTGATTCTATCACCAACTATTTTTACTATGAACTTCTCATTTTGATTCTCAAAGTACATATTTTATAATATTTCTAATATCACTAGCTATTTTTTCCCCACGAAACATTACCTTTCTCATAAACAACCAAATCTTATAATCTTGAATCTTACTCTCAAAATGTTTTCATTATCTCATCTAATCTTAGAGCTATATTTTATTTTATTTTCATTTTCCACCTCTTCGGATTTAAATCAAAAAATAATAAGCAATGCTAAGTACATAAAATTTCACTCAGTATGATTTAATAGTTTTTACAATCTAAATGATATTTTTCTTATAAGAAAATCAATCTAAGTTTTATTATCGACATTATTATAAGTGATGAGATGTTTTTCTCTTTTCTTAAATTAAGTATTAGAAATTACGAAATCATAAGCTAGAACAAAAATTAATATAGTCATACCGCCTTCATTAGTCACTTCAAACTCATAGCCGTTATAAATATTTTTAAAATCTTTTACCACTCTATCAACATGTCCATTTAAATCTCATCCAATAAAAACTCTTTCTTCAAGATGTATCATTTATATTAATTCTTCTAAGTCACTCCAAAATAATAATAATAATAATAATAATAATAATAATATGCATCCAAACTTATTTGAAGAATATAAACACATATTGCATTAATAATCTTAACATAAAAAACAATCTTTAAAACTTTAATTATATCTCTAATTCTATTAATTTCTGCAATATTACCCTTCAAACTTTAAATTATGATCACACCTACACCATTTCTAAGAAGACTCCTACTTGAATATCAAAGTTTAAATCCTAAACTATCAATCTCTTTAGCTTTTTCTCCAACCCATTAGTTTCTTGAATACATAGAATATTTATCTTCCTATGAATTATAATATCTATTAATTTAATCAATTTGCTCGTAAAAGTACCTATATTCTAAATTCTTATCCTATTTTAATTTCATGATAAGAAATCATGGACATCATAAGAAGTCAATCAACAACATAATTTAACATTCAAATGAAGTAGTTCATACAAATCATATATGTTCACTATAACTCACCAAGCTTAATTCATCATGTTGGTGGTAAACTTATCCAACTAAAAAATAATAATAACAATGGACCTTCCATATATTACGATCTACACCATCGCTAGCAGCCTTGGCTGCAATAACACACTGTCAAGCAAAGTTAGTGCAGTTAGGAGTAACAAATTTAAAGCTACGCACATGCACCAAATATTTGCAAGTTTGTCCCCAACACACCTTTTGAGGCAAAGAGGCGCCTAACAACAAATTTGATCATAAAATTTAGAGCGATGGGAGCCTTTGTCCGCAAACTTGTTGAGCGAGCCTCAGCCATGTCACCAAACCTAGTTATTCTCCCCTCTCGCCCTATCAAAGCTTTGTTCTCCTGATCCTAACCTTCTTTTCTTTCAACATTATCTTCTTCAGATTCAAGTCTATCTCGTGAATTGCACTTATGGCAACTATGCCACAGTATACTGTTCCATCTTCACTAAAAAAATTTAACAGACAGTCATCCTCAACCACAAATATGCATCAGTAGATGTGTGAATGTGGAATAAGGCGAGAAATACAGAGATGGCAAAGCATATCCAAATCTGCACACATTTAATATATGCATAATAACGAGAGCAAAGCCCGTCTAACTTAGCGTGAGCACAAAAACCAATAAAATAAATGTTCGCACCTTGATATGCATGCACATATTTAGATATCCATACATTTTATACCAAAATAAGAATTAGGAATGTTAGGCAGCCCCATTCAGAATACCTTGGCTTCCTATGCATATTAATCTCAATATAAACAAAAGTATGCAATAAGATTGTAGAAGACATGAACAAAGAGTAATGTTAAGAATCAAAACAACTCACAGCTCTTTTCTCAACCACACACTCCTGGTCCTCATCTCTGATTTCAGATTTTGCACTTGTACAAAAAATGCTGATTTCTGCAGCTGTCTCACAGGCGGACTCCAACAGTGCGAGCTCATCAGTTGCTAGAGTACCGTCAGAATTCTTGTCAAGATTGGTTTTTGCCTTCTCAAGATATTTAATAGGAGGTTTTTGACAGCTAGCTGATTTTAAATAATCCACAACCTTAATATTTGTTTCACCACCTATGCCGAGTTCCACTGCCTGTAACAATAGAGAAGTCCACAATAAGTTCGCCAGAGAAAAACATCATGTACACACTTTTTTCCATATTCGTTACAGTAGAGTGAAACGAGAAATAGAAAACACAGCTATGTTGAGAAATGGCTAGAGGGTGCAAATTACAAATAAACTTTTCGGGGAACTATTGTATAAACAATCAAAAGATTACTTCTGCAAAGCTAAAATTATGTTGCGCACTGTAACAATAGAGGAGTCCACAATAAGTTTGCCTGAGAAAAACATCAAGTAGATACTTTTTTTCCATATTCGTTACACTAGAGTGAAACGAGAGATAGAAAACACAGCTACGTTGAGAAATGACTAGAGGATGCAAATGACAAATAAACATTTTTGGGTACTATTGTCTAAACAATCAAAAGATTACTTCTGCAAAGCTACAATTATGTTGTGCACTAATGAATACAAATTCAGATGCAAATCAGAGGCCTTCATGCAGGAAAACTTCTGAAAAAGTTCCTCTATAGCTAGCTCAGCAGGTACAAGTGTGGAAAAAACCTGAGATGATGCATCCGCAGAAACAGAGTCAGCATGTAACCTCTCATGAAATTCAGGTGCCACTTGCAGAGAATCAGCTACACCAACCACTGCTGCAACTAAACCATGCACAGAATCTGTTCGTGAATCTTGAATGTCCTGGTTAGAACTTATCTCATAGAAAATTTTGGAAACAACCAAGTCTTCCTCAGTTTCATTTATGCCAATGCAGTACTGGTGCATCAACCAAGGCGTTTTCAATGGGTTCCCACCAGTCACTGTGTTCATATAGAGAGACAATACTTCCTTAGACCCTTGGTGAATACCATCTACACACACCAGGTTCGATTTGCCAATGCTATTCCAGCAGATCTCAACAGAGTTGTCCTGTTTCTTCTGTCTTTTGAAGTTCCTACTGCGGTGCATCTCAATTTTTCTATGGAAAAAATATGACGCGCTTCCATCCTGTTTAACACCTAATGATGGCAACCATCAGCAAAATTTTGTAATAAATGTGGCCATATAAAAAATGAAAAAAAAAAGATGCTTTTAGCAAATTACCTGGTAGAAATTGAGGAAGAACATGGCCCAACCCAGCATCTTCATCAAGTGAAAAGATAAATTCATTAATAAAAGGATGTCGTTTAGCCACTCCTTTTCCCATTTCTGCAAGCAAGTGCCAGAGAAGCTCTTCATCTGATGGATCAAATTTGACTCCTTTAGGCAAGCTTGGCCACTCCTATATAGGAAGACAATCATACATTACAAAAATTAAAAATGAGCAATATAAACTGCAGATGCGTGTTGGCCTCTTCAGTAGTTCAACTTCTTAAGAATACAACAGCATAGTAAAATTCTACAAATTCTTGGAAAATGCAGATATAAAAGTGCGGTGGATTTGAATCTTCAAAAGGTCCATTACAAAAATCACACGTCAATTAACCTTTAGGACGAAAGATATTTCATATCTCAGCTTAAAAAAAGGACGCTAATAAATAGTGGAGATGCACTGAAATGTGCAAAAGGGAAAGGAAGCTAGTGAAAATGAAAAAAAAAAAAAGACTTTTTGATTGGTGGATAAAAAGCAGATATTCATATCCGAATTATAGACCTAAAGAAGATTGATATTCACCAATAGTACAGTGCAAATAGGTAAGGAGAGGAATGAACAAAATTCTAGAAGAAAAAACATATTTAAAATATAAGAACAAAATATTAATCAACTAGAATGAATTTTTAACCATACCTAACTTTTTAGTATATGAAACAAATACAACGAGATTATCAAAATTGGTAGAAAATGATTTCTAGCATTAATGGACACTAGCATATCACACTTATCCTATAGAACTAAAAAAAAAAAGATGTCTGGTGAAATCATGAATTAAGGATGAAGAAATGGCTTGCTTTTGAGTTGTTGTGAGCATTTGAGGCTGAAGGAATATCGTAAGAGAGGAGGAAGATCACGAGCTACTGTGAGTTGGAGTGTCGGATTGTGAGAGAGAAGGAACATTGCAAGAGAGAAATCCACGGAGAAGATATAAAGGGACGGGTGGGATCTAAGGAACTCGAGATTTATAGGAAGAAACGGAAGAAAATGGGATATTACAAAACTGTAAGATTTAAAGAGAAAAAAAAAAAAAACAGTTCCGCAAGATTTAAGCTAAAACATGGTCAAATCTTTAGCTTGTATTTAAAGACTTGATCAAGAAATGGTATAATACCAAACTGCCCCCTACAAATACCATATCTTAGCTCAACAACCATTACATCTCAAAACCGCAGAAAATCGATTACCGGGTAAAAATTACAAAAGCTGCAAGCCTGCAACACTTGGCGGTCCATCCATAGTTATGAAATGAAGTGGTTTGTTTTAGCTTCGAAATATACCTTCCTGAAGTCTGGGATGACTCGCTTTACGTTCAGACCCCTAAAACCGAACAAAATACCAAAAATTGAGCAGCACGATTTGAGTAAAGTGAGAAAGTAAGAGATGAATAAGCGAAAGGAAAGCGCACTTCGAGGGCATATCAGGATAGATGAGCATCCTCCTCCTCTCCGACAGCGGCAATAGGTCGAGATCACCCGACCTTGCCTCGCGTTCGAGTTTTATGACGGCCTTCTCGCCGAATCCCAATGCGCTTGTTGGCTCGCCGGAGGCATTTTGAAAATTCATGGCGGTTAGGGCATTGGAGAACGTGACGGTAGTTTTGGGGCATTCACGGCAGAGAAGGGTGCAACGGAGATAATCGAAAAGCCGAAAAAGCTAAATGGCGTTTGGCACGGTGGCGCGGCGGACTCCAAAGATGCCCCTCCGTAATTTTCGTAACAACCAGTAAAAATGCACGTGTCTAATATTTTCAATATATATTTTTTAAATTTATAAAGATTACATAAATGATTATTTTAAATAACTATTATTTAAATATTTTAATTCCATTAATTTTGCTTTTTAAATAAATTTATTTTAAATTTGAGAATTTTCAAATTAAATTTCTAATAAAAATAAAATTAAAGTATTATTTGATTGATAAATTACTAAAATTAGTATTAAATAGTATATAATACTAATTATGTTTGAAGAGTAAGTTAATTAAGAGATTTAGAATTATGAAATATAAGAGAATGGAAAATCTAAACATAATATCAACATATATAGTAAAAGATAATACATCAATCTATTTGATTATTGTCATATGCATTTTATTAATGTTTTTATATATTAATGAAAAAGTAATGTTAGATGAATGATCATATTTTAATTAAATAATTTAAAGAAAGCTAAAAATAGGCATATATTATTTTCTTATAATTCTTTAAATAAGTTGTAATTAGATCTTCTGTTTTTATTGAAACTATTTTAAAGTGAAATATAATACATGTACTTAAAATAATCTTATAGAAAACATCAAAATTTATAACTTACACTAATCAATAGTATTATTTATATAGTTTTGTAAATTTATTTATTTGAAGCATTACATAGATTTTACTCTATGAGCTTATAGAATGTCTAGAATCACATAGCATAATGGAAAGTACATTAGAAAATAAATAAATATACAATTATTTTTACAAAAAAAAGAGCAAGTGATGGAGTGGAGGAAGTGAATATTAATAACCATAAAATTGCACCCATCCAAGCTTTTTTCTTAACACTATTAAGGGTTTTACACTCAACACATTGCACCATAAAATCTACAAAGAACAAATATGGCATATGGATGAAGAATATTTTATCTACTTAGTACTACGATTTTCAATAAATTATTTTTAAATGAATCTCCAAGTATTTATTAATTAGTAATAACAATGTAATATATATTCTATGTAAAAAAATGAAATAAAGGGGAAGACAACATTTAAGTTTAATAAAAATAGCACCATAAGACTTGTGAGATTGTAAGTTGGATCAAGAATTTTTTTTTTCCCCAATAAATTGAGCAGCATTATGCAACAAGTTGTAGCACACGATCGTACATGAGGCTTTATCAAAAGGCTCTGAAATCATTTCGCAAGAGTTGAGGAGTTAGTGATTTGATGAAGTAAGAGTTTTGACACATTTGATCATTGACACCATAAGTAATATGAGTGAAATAACATTCATGTAGCATCAGTGAGTGCTATGGGTGGATGGATGATGATGTAACACTAAGTGACAAGATGTTGTTGAGAACAAGTGGCTACTATTATGTAATGGTTCTCTCCTCATAAATTTGGGCCAATACAAGGGTGGTTGATCCTCTCGGCCATCATGGGATGACAAAGGAACTCTATTTAGTGGATGATTCAATGATAATATGGGAAAGAATTAGAAAAGCATGCCTGAGAAGAAATAAAGGAAAGTGTGAGAATGTTATAATTATAGCGTTAATTTTGAAAACATCTAAATGCCAAAGTTTTAAGTCTACACTGCGGCCATGGGAAATGGAGCTAAAAAAATGAGGAAAGAAGGAGACAAAGTTTTAAAGTAGAATTATAAAGGCTCTAGTGAATGAAGAAAAGAAGAGCAACTAGAGGATGTATGCTAGAGCTTGACTCAAGAAATGACATATCAGATGAGTTTGATTAGCTAATGAGCCAAATTTAAGCCAACCTTAACTCAGCTCATTAAAGGGTGAGTTGCTCATTTAAAAATTATTAATGTAAAATGAATTTAACATATATTAAATCAGGATTTAAAGTATAAATTCATTAAGAATATTTAAAAATTATGTATCACTTTCTTGTATCAATTGATTTTTATTATATATATTCTAATTTCTCTTTTTTTATAAATTAATTATATTAATTGCATGAACTATAATTTTTTTTTTTTTCATAATAAACTAACTGGCTTGTTTGTTAACTCAAACTCCTAGAATTAAGCTTGAGCTAAAGCTCAAACTCAGTTAATTAATCAAAATCAAACTCAAGCTAGAGGTGAATTGAGCTCATATCCAGTCATTTACAACCTTAAGTCTAAGTGATCAAAAGATCCATCCACTACAGGAAAATCTTCTCTCTTTGGCAAACTTAGGTTGTCCCAACCAAAATAGAAGAAGAATTTGTGTCGAGCATGCTCCAATTTAAATATTTGAAAAGCTCGATGTGACGACGCCTAACATGTTGGCACCAAACTATCATGTGTTAGGCATAAAATTTAGTGAGAGATGGTCGATCCCTTATAATCCAATTAGGGTTATAAGACATGAAGCCACTCAACACAAAAGGGAACCCTGGCAAGATAATTCAACTGTGAATATTTAAATTCCAAGAAGGCATGATGTATCCTTAGGTTTATTGAAATACCTAATTTATATATTATATATTAAAAAAAAGTTATTGAAGAAGGATAATCCATAAGGAAGCAAAATTACAGTAAGCAGTTAACTATAAAATATGATAAACGAAGTCCCATAAAGTCATTAAAAGTCATTATCTCAAGAGGTGTCGCAAAGAAGTTTGGCCTCGTGAGGAAAGGGCAACAATAAGATGCTAAGGAGAGGTGAGCTATTTAATTAGTCATTGAGAAAATATGATGCCCAAAAGAAGGGAAGATGTAACTAAAGTTGATAAAAATAGGCATTCAATAATGATAGAAGAAGTTGCCAATAGGTGCATGTTCTTAAGAAGAAAGAGTGTCAACCAATGACCAATCAAAACATATTATTGATAAGAGGCAAATTCTCTAGATATGAGTTATTGAGAAATGAGTTTCTTAATATGGTTCTCAATACAGTTTGCAAAGAGGACGTCATGAAGAGTAGGGTTCTTGGGAAACTGATTGAACAACGCTAAGAGGTCGAGGGGTCACACCAATTTTACTATCATAACTTATGTTGCAATAGTCAACTTAGGATAACTCTAGGTGGATATCTTTTATTAATCACAAGAAATCTTGCATCAAAAAGAACTCATCGAGGGGAGGGTCGATTATAAACTTTGCGATCCTTAAGGAGGGCCATGATTTCTTAAGTGAAAAATAAGGCCAAGCTATGGGCTTAAATCAACTTATAAGAATGGCTAAACCACTATTAGATGCAATTAGTTTAAGGTTTGTATTTAGATCTACTTAGCAAGTTGTGATAATAAAGGAGGGTCCTATAAAGGTATAATGATCATAACTAGGTGAATTTTAAAGCTAGAGGATTTAGTTTGATACTAGTGCTCCATAATATAATTAGAGGGCAACAATTATAATCAAGGTAAATCCTAAAACTAGGGTATTCAATTATGAGAGTATTTTTTATTAGATAAACTATGTGAAAAAGCTATAAGAGTCAAGAATATAAACATTGATAACTTATTCAAGAGGTGTGGACTTTCTTTCTCAATCAGCAGGAGATGTCTTTCTATGAGGCGAGCTTGACCAAAGGTAGGATGAACCTTTAAGAGTCAAGGAAGTATGAGTTAAAAATTAAACTATGAATTAGAGGAATTTCTTCCTTTATTGACATGGGATGACCTTTTATTGAGTGAATCTCATTGAAGCTAAAAGAATAAAAGCTCATGTTAGGAGAATTAGACTCTATCTCTCTAATGGTAAGTTGGAACCTCATATTATACAACCTTCCAATATACCTTATGTGAATCTAGGCAACTGATGGTGATCCACTATTGGTTGTAGTTGTTCCATTATTAAGCTTAATGAAAGTTTGGTTTCATAAATCTTAATTCGATTAGGATAAGTAATTTGGGAAAGGAAATGACACTTCACATGGTGTGCGTAAGTCCCTTGAATGAGTCTAATTAGTGTGATCTCTCAATTTAGGGCTTCCCGTGCTCGTAAGATCATTAAGCCACATACAACTTGATAAATAACCACATCCATAGGTTTTCTTAAGTAGGAAGCCTTATAAAAGAATTTGAATATGAGATATACACCTAGGTATGTAGGAAACCTTGGCTCTATAAGGGAAATGAGCAAAAGAAAATGCATCAATTTGCATTCAACCTACCAACAACTAAACTTGAAAGATGGAAAGGCTTCATGGCCTAAGATGAGTTAATTATATGCAACATTGAACAAAGATACAAAGAATCCATTGGGGATTTGAGGTGAGCCTAACACATGTTTTATTAACCTAGACTATGTTTGATAAAAAAAAATTATATTATGGAGGATACAATGTGTGTGATCTCTCATCTTTTTATCTGATTCAAGGAATCACTCATACTATTTAATTACTAGACCACATAAAAAAAGGAAAATCATCATGCCCATGGATTGCCTTTGGCAGGAGGCTTCCTGAGAAGACTCAAATATGAACCCTATAAGAAGATATGCTCGAAGGTTTTGGTTTTGATTATCATATCAAGTTTAGATATAAATAAGGTGCCAAATACATGACACCCATAAATGAAAGATATACATGAATTTGGTCTACATTAAGGAAATAAGATAATTTGTACATGTTTTATTTTTCCTAATAAGTATATGATTCACAAGGGGAACTAGTGGATGTTAGTTATAACTACTCATGTTGCATTCAATGTGTGGGAAACTATGCTAAAGTGAATGGTTATTTCTAATAAACTTGAGATAACGTCATCCTATGTAGATGACGAATAAAAAAAAGGACTATAATGAAAATTCAATATGATATTTTCTATAAATAGTGTTCACCCATAATAACCTTGATTAATAGACATATATATATCATGGATAAATGAGTGTCTATTTGTGAGGGAACAAGGGAAACCTTATCATAGCCAAGAAGAAAATAACAATTCACTAGGGATCTAAGATGGCTGGAAATAGTTTTTGGTTTACCCCAACTATGCTATACTCAAAGGGAGAAAAATTGGAATCCATCTAAATTCTACTAGTGTAACAAGGTATGATAATTGTATGTTTGGTCACCCTGGCTATGCCCAGCTTGTGTAGAGATAAAGTAGGTGAAGAAAATTGGCCTCTATGGATCTATGTCGGGTCCACCCTATGAGTGAATCAAAGAAGCAAATTTTCCTTGAGAATTTTCAATGCTTAAGGAGAGATAAAAAGTTATATGTATAAAGTTCATCTTGAAAAATGCTAAAATAATAGAGGATTTGAGGCCAAGTATGCCTTAAGCTTCTTAAAGGTATACTCCCACTCATCAATCATCTAGGGCTAGTGTTTTTATATCTTATTATATATATTGAAGAAATGAAGATAATTATCTCTATAAATAACAAGAAAATAAGACAACATAAACAACTATCTATCCATTTAAACATATATCATCCTTATTATTAAATAGTGTTTCATGTCCTAGTTCATCTTTATCTTGTTTGGGCAATTATTTTTATATATAGCAAGAAAATAAGATAAACTTTCTTGAAGTAACCCACAAATCACATTTGTTTGAATAAGTTGTATATTATATTGATAAAGGGGGTAGATGCATGATTCTATGTCTTGAATACATTGAGAAATATCAAATCTCTTTACCATCATATCAACTACATACAATTCTATGGTTAAACCAAAAAGATCCTTTTAAATCCTTATTTTATGAGTTGATATTATATAGTACAGATTTTTCATATCTTTATAGAATTGTTGATCTTTATAAAAGCAAAAGGATGTTGCCTCTTCATATGTGTTAATCTTAACTTTAATGTACTTAAAGTTCCCAATTATGAAGCGAAGCATTGAATGTCGAGGTGACATTAATAAGGTAGTTGATGCATAGGAGAGAAAGCTTTTCTTGGGATGAGCCTTATTGAGATCTTGTAGTCAACATGCATACTCCAATTTATAACAAAACAATCAACATAATTTGATGTGATTTTTACATGGTTATGATATTGTAATATTATTTGGAGCGTTCATGGTAGGATCTCCTAACATAAACTTAGGCTTTATTTGGGACAACTTTCTTATTGTTTTTTAAAATCAACTTTCTAGTACAAAAAATTTAATTTTTATATTAAAAAACTACTTTAAAAAGTAATAAAAAAACTGTCCCAAATGAAGCTTTAAGAATTACGCATTCCTATATTTTTGTGTGCAGCTTCCTCCTTTTTGTTGTGCCCCTTCTCATGTTTTAGTTGGTTGAAATGCTTAAAGGTGTTATGCCCACTGATTATTTCAGTGAGATTTGAAAACATTCTATTAAACATCTTTAAAAAATTTCTAAATTTCAACTCAAAATCTTTATCAAGTAAACTGATAGGCACAATGAAAATGACTTTAGATTTTAAAATCTGTTGCTGATATTATAGCAAAAAAGCACCAAGTATTTGCTCCTACTTTCTTTTTGTTGACCTTACTTTGGAATATTCAGAAAAAAAAAAAAAAAAAGCATATTTGCACAATGGCAAATGCTAGCATCCTTAGAAGTAAGGCTTACTTTGGATAACTCTCTTACTATTCTACAATTTTTATTTAATTATTCTTTTTTCATTATTTTCAAATAATTTTTATGCCAAAAAAACTGCTTTCTAAGCTAACTTTAAAAAAAGTAACGTTTTGCTTTCCAAGCATATCCTAAGGCTTTATTTGAGACAACTTTTTTACTGCTTATTAGAAGAGCTTTTTAATACAAAATTTTTTATTTTGTATTAAAAACCCGCTCTAAGCAGCATTATAAAAGCCGTCCTAAACAAAGTCTAAATCTTTGCTCGTATGGTATTTTGTATTCATGCCATTTTAGTCAATAATCTTCTTGTTATTCTGATTGTTTTTTTCATGCACAGACATTAATTCAAAAGCTATCAGTGACATTTCTATAGTTGGCAACAACCTAATAACCAGATATTGTCCTAAAAGTTCATTTTTTTTCCCACATAAATCCTCTCCAATTATCAACATTCCTTTTTTTTTTTCACATAAATCCTCTCCAGTTATCATTATAATTGCCTATGCACAGTTATCAAGTCCCAGTCATTTATTTTATTTTAGTGATTTGATATTGAATCCACAGAAGCTTTACACTGATAAAATACTATGGGTTCAGATAAATCACAAAAGTGAACTGTATGGCCAAAATGAAATAACCACGCATGCTATAACATGCTAAGTAGAAAGCATAACACCACTCAGGTTTCATTTGGTTATTCTGTGCCTTTCCTAAAAGATAATTTTAAAACTATTGTTTGAGAGAACGGAATTTTTTCTAACGGAAAAAATTAATACAGAAAGCTTTTACAGTACAAAAATACTACAAAAATGACATGCAAACAACAGTAAAAAAAAAATAATTACCTTTTTGAAACTGAAAAGACGAAATTAAGCCGTCTCAAACGAGGCCTCATTATACTTCATGCACAAAAGCTTCACATAACTTGCCAATAATTTCATACATTATTTGAAGTTTAGAGTCCAGTTCCAAAAGTCAGATAACCCTATGATTAAACGTAAGCTTGCAAATAATCCCATCTAATTCTAAAGCATAAATTCCGGTAACATACATATATGAATATACAGTGCCGAGTTAGACCCTCCAGCTTAGAGAATAGCACACCTTAAAACTAAGCCTTTTTGCTCCACTCTCTGATCATCATTGCCTGCAAATTAAATCATTTTGCAAGCATAACTAATCTTTCTTTCATCCGGTCACCAAAGAGCTCAAACTATATCAAATCTTTGAATGCTTGAAAGTTTGCTTAAGGATTAAGGCTTTGTTTGGGACGGCTTTCTTACTGCTTTTTAAAGCAGTTTTTAGTAAAAAATCTTTTAGACTAAATTTTTGTATACTAGAAAGTTGCTTTAGAAAGTAATAAAAAAGCTGTTGCAAAGGCAGCCTAAGAAGATTGCTCACCATCTAAAGGCTGATGAAGCTTTCGGTTCTGCGGAGAAGACATCTCTTTCTTCAGACCAATCAGTATGTCCTCCATTGTGTATTCCCTTCGCCAATTCAAAAGCATTGGGAACAAGCTTGGTTCAACCTGATAAATTTAGAATATATGATAGATATAACACCAATGTAATTAAAGATGCCATAGTTCTGTGAAATAATGACGATTACCACTCCAGTTTCCTGGTTCACACAAGTCATGTTAATACGGGTCTGGAAGCGAGCCGTTGGTGGACTGTCGGGATAATCTTTATCGCAAAACAGCTTCAACTGGTATATCCGACCCTCATGAACAGTCTGCAAAGAACCAAAAGAAGAGTATTAGAGTAGTAATGGCCTTTAGGTATGCAAATATTCAATGCTTTTTATAAGGGAGATTTTCTATTGAACTACATAGTTGTATATACTTTAAAAGATTAGAGAAGCAAGCATACATTGTGAGGACCAATGATTGTTCCTGTCCAGGAACGCATATAAATGTCATCAGCATCATCCATTCCATAGCTCACAGTTCCATCACCAATACCCTTCTCCCCCCTTTCAAGCTCTTCTAGCAATCTGAAATTTCTTGGAACTGAAAACAAGCAGCCATAGAGTTTCAAAATTTATATTGTTTGTATGATAAAATGTCTCATTTTGAAATAACAGTAGTCGAAATCACATTAATGGATATATGACAAATGCAAAGTTTTTGAGTCCTTCATGGCATCATGGGAAATAAAGCACATACTGAAAATAATGCCTAAAAATTTACTATGGCCTGAAAAAAGGGGAGATTGCCACCATGATCGATTCATTCAGCCAAAAATGATCATAGGCTCATAGCATAAGAGAACAGTTGGAAAAACTTAAGCTGCCAAACCACTCTTGCAATAATCAGTTTGGGTTAAAGGAGGATGGATACAAAATGAACAAACAAGATAGGCTCACATGGCAGATAGGTGCACTATGTAAAGCCACTTTCTACTTAAATGCCTAACTCCAACTATTTATCTAATTCAACCACTAAGGCTTTGTTTGATCGGAAGTTTTTTTTGCTTATTCCATTTTAAAATGACAAATTCATTTCTTATTTACTGTTTCGTTCGTCAAATCAAGTTCCCAATAACTCCATTTGTTTCATTTTTCTGCTGTTTTGAGAAAGCTTTTTATGTATGCTTTTCGGTAAAAAAACTCCATTTTCTGAACCAATGAATCTTAAAATTGTCTTTTACAAAAGTACCAAAAATTCAAACGAAGCCTAAAGTGCTCAGCAGGATTGCTGCTGCTGCAGCAGCAAAAGTGGAAATCAAGTTAGAGAATGTAGAGAATGAGCAACAAGCAACTTCATAGCCTCTCATCACAAAATTAATCTTCCACTTATTTACTTTAGTCCAACTGAAAATGCCAACGATGGGGTCACGGACATGAGCTCGCATGCACACACCATACTATTTTGAAAATCAACCAGAAGGGGAGGCATGCCATTCCTGCACTTTGTTCTCAGCTGAGGCAAGGTCTAACACCAATATGTAGTGTTCCAATGGCTTAGAGAAAGACTAAATTTATTTTGCATCAACTAAATTTTCAACCTCAACTTATTTTGTATTGATTATACGTTGGGAACAGTTGTTTCCAATAAAATATAGTGCTCTTGCCATAAATTCTCTCTCTATAGTGTTCGTTAGAGGGGGACAGAAATTTGGAAAGGTCTACATCTTTACACCATTGCAATACTAGTACAAACAAATACTCGCCTATATACAAGCAAGAGTGAACAATAAATGAAAATATAATAAAAGGAGAATATCCTCAATAGAAATGAAATATTCAAAAGTTAAAAAGTCAATATTCATATAAAAATAGGTTGTCACGTTTTATAACAATTCTAGCAAACTTAAGGTGGAACAGAAGATATTGACAACAACAATAACATCAAGCCTTTGTCCCACTACGTGTGGTCGACTACATGAATCATTTTTCTCCCTTGTTATATTGAAAGTCAAATTCTCGTTTAATCTAATAAAGAAAGATCATTTCTAATATTTTCTAACCAAATATTTTTAGGTCTACTTATACCTTTCTTAACATAAGTTAAATCTAATACCTCTACTTTCCTAACCAGGTCATCGGAAGGCCGTCATTTTATGTGACCAAACCATCTAAGGCAACTCTATCTAATATTATCTTCCACTAGAACTACTCCAACCTTTTCACGTATATGTGTTTACAATAGTGACAATAGTGACCATAGTGTGATTGAATCATTAAAGTTGTGTGAATTAGACGCAAAGAGTTGACAACATGATTCATCTCAAAAAAGTATAAAAAAATATCCTTGAATAGAGAGTAGTGATATATAACATCAACAGAGTAGTAACAGAGAATTGATTGAGAGTATTGAGGAGAGTAGTGATAGAGAGCATTTACTGAGGAAAAACCCCCAACAATACTTGCCATTGAAAAACAAAGTAGATCGTTGAGGTTAGCAATCTTTTGATGAGCAATACAACCGAGTAAAAGTTGATTTTGGTGAGGATGTCAACATTATTGCAAGGTTTAAATCCGATGAATGATTGAAAGGTGTTTGGGTTGTGTGGCAGAAAATTGGCTTTGGCGGAGCAAAGTAACAAGGACTTCAACATCGTGAAGATGACGAGATATAGGTATGAGCAACAAGTATGATCATCCCACATTTACCTCACATGCGATGGAGAAGCCGGTGAGCATGACCTTGGCCACACCAAGCAGGGCATGGTACTTGAGCGCATCAATAGAGAAAGTCACATATCAATGAATTGGGTCTCATTATCCCTATGCCTTCGACAAAGGCTAGGTTGATGCCTTGTGGGAATTGGCGAGTGTAGACAACAAGGAAGAGTGCTCCTTTAAGCAGGACGCTGATGAGAATAGATGGATGCGGAAGATGATGGACAGTGGTGCGAGTAAAGGCAATCATGGGTAAGCCTGCTAAACAATACATGCAATGATTGCATGACTAATAAGGCATTCATAAGACACAGGACAGGGAGGCCGAAAGGGTCATGCAATGAAAGAGCAAGAAGAGCTCAAGCTACGTATAGGAGGGATTGAAAGGGGAAAAAAGGAGTCTAAGGAGGAAATCAAAATCACACTATTATACTAAGTTAGAAGGTGAGAGAAAATTATAAAGGTACACATCTTTACTTATCTGTTATACTAATACAGGCAAATGAGTGCCTACATATAGGCAAGAGAAGGAAAAATAATAATAAGATAGAATAGTGTTAAAAACATCTGTTTCTCATTTATGTTTAAAATTCCATGAAGGCAATGCAGCACCAATCCCAAGCTATTGTACTAAGCATCAACACAAGATAACGCAAAAGAGTATATACAACATTATCTTAGGTGTCAACCACAAATCTCGCTTATAAGGACCAATACATAAAGGACATGACATGGATTTCAAATTTCAAATAGCTAACAAGGAAGACGAGCTTCTCACTAGCAACATGGTTCATGGGTAGCATCTCGAAAGGACTAGGAAAATGCTAAGCAAGAATAAATGACAAGGGCAACAAAAATCGATCCAATATCAAGCAAAGCTAGTACACTTGCGTTGGGCAACCTGTAATGAATCTAATTATAGTATATCATGTACCAATAGTTGACATTGAAAAAACATCTTTATGGGTAGGAAATCCATTTTTGGACTTAACAATAGCTGCAAAACTAAAACATAAACAATTAAAAATCTACTATTTTACAATTAGCTCAAAGAATCAATAAAATTTGTAGTTATATATCTGTGCATCATTAAAGTTGTGTATGTTTGAAATTAATTAAGGGAAAGAAATGGTATTGAAAAGCATTTTTTTTTTATTTGTTTGCTCAAAGTCTAAGCAGAAAGAGAGTAGAAAAAAATAGCTATACAAAATTTTCCTTTTTTTTTCTAAAAACCTAATGAATAATAAGATAAAGCATTTTTAAGAGTTTGTTTAGGGCGGGTGTTAGCTTTTTATAAATGAGATTGTAAAGCAACTAGTGGTGTTATAAATATTTTTCTTTTTGAAAAAAATTAGACAACTTTCTTATAACTATAACACTAGCAGATCTGATTGCACAAAAATTTTAAAAAATCAACAAAAAAAAAATAGTAACCAAATGAAAGTGTAGCAGCAGTCTTCTTAAAAAAAAACAGTGAAACAATTATCACAAATATACCCTAAGTTGCTACTCATTGTACCATCAGCTTTATGTTTGTCTTTTCCAATAAAAAAAAAAGCTTTATGTTTGTCTTTCACATCTACCAATGCTTTTCCTCAACGCTATTGATTTGATTTTTGGATCATCTTTGCCAAATTTTTCATATCATAGGATAAATCCAAAGGGAAATGCTAACTTAAATGACAATCATTTTTTTAACATTGATTTATTAGAGAAAATATTAATCATTGTGGATTTCTTGCATTCCTTATACCTAAGAAAGACGAAAGTTAGTGGACATTTGTAGATAGTAGAATCATAAATAGATAATCATTAAATATTGATTTATTATACCAAGATTTAATGATATCGAAAATAATGAGGAGAGAATAAATATAACTCAAGATGTTAGTCATGCATTGTATGATTTTTAATATATATATATATATATATATATATATATATATTTATCAGATAAAATATTAATTATTGTGTATTTCCTGCATTGCTTATACAAAGAAAGATGAAAGTAAGTGGACATTTATAGATAATAGAATCATTAATAAGATTATCATCAAATATTGATTAATTATACCTAGATTTAATGATATAAAAAATAATGAACAGAGCTATAATGTTTTCAAAAATTAATATGAGGACGCATTAGTGAACATGCGAGAAGGGGATGAATGAAAAGTTGGATTTAAAACTAAAGATTAATGATATGAATGTTGATTATAACTTTGGGTTAACCTAATGCATCAAGCATTTTTATGAGAACTATGAATCATATAATTCAACCTTTCAGTGTCAATAGGTTGTTTATTTTGGTGATATCTTGATATATGGTGAAATTAGAAAATTTGATTTATCTTACAATATTACAAATTGAGAAACTATAATATATATATATATATGAATCGAAAGTGTTGTTTTGTCACACCATATGTGTACTTTGGGATTTATTGGACCAAGTAAATCAGTATTTGTTGATCTTAATAAGGTCAAAGCAATTAATGATTGGCCAATATCTATTAATATTCATGAGCTTCAAAGTCTTCAACGACCTGGCATTAATTATTAACTATCTAAAATAGAATATTTCATTTGACCAAATATGTTGATGGTGATTTTAAGAAAATTAAAGAAATGACTACAAATGCACCTATGCTTAAATTGCCATATTTAAAAAATATTCAAGGATTCTTATGATGCTTATAGTATAGGTATAGGAGAGATTTTAAGTTAAAAATGACATCATATTACTTTTTAGTGAAAATTTAAATGAAGCTGAAAAGAATATTCTAACCATAACAGTGAGTTTTATGTACTTGCGCAAGTCCTTAGTCCTTCAGTATTAGACATATTATTTATTAACTCAAGAGTTTGTCCCATATTCTAATTATG